CATTGTTTATTTACATGAAATTCGAACACGCGCTGCGCGACGACCACCGCGCTTTAAACGGAAATAAAGGGGAGTATCTCGATGGACACACTCGGAACATGTCCTTTCTCTGAAACTAGAGACAAGTCAAATTTCACGTAAACAAACAATGTATTTTACACGCGTTGTATACGTCGCTATGAGTCCCATATCGAACAGGACGCGGCGCGATGACCACCGCCGCCGTGAACGCTTGAAGAAATTTAGTCTTGCTAATAAAGGTTTACCTACAACACTGAAAAAACTCAAAAACCGATCAATATGTTTTCGAACATTATATTTGGGCTATGGAGTAATTTTTAATTTGTATGCGTGGGACACCCATACGAAGTTTCTTTACTGCCACCTACCGTATTTCAAATATAAAGACGTATATAACTTCGTTCTCTCCAAGTGTAAACTGATTCTGTATGCAACACACATGGCTAAAAGACAGTTATTACATTTTATCATGCTCTTTATTATTAAAAACACTATACTATAATATTACATTAGATCACATCAATGGCAGAGGCAGAGGCGAGTGTGGTCCATTTTTCAAATTATACGAGATTCGCGATATGGTACAGAATTACACAATAGTTATTTAACTTATATTTCAACGTAAATATGCTGTATCGATTGAACGGTATATTTGTGAATAATGTTTACACATGGATATGTTAATATTGTCACTAAGGCTCACTTTACCGAGAGCATTCTCTATTTGGAAACATATACAAATCATATACACTTTCAATACACAACACGTTACATAAAATGTATTGCAATACAGTAACAGTTCGCTCACAAAAAAATGTTGACATATAGATTGTCAGCACTGCTCCTGTTTAACATATCTGACCTCTCCAATTAAGATTTGTATTAGAAATATTGCTTATTAATATTTTTGTTAGGAAATCAATTATTTATATTGTATTCATTACTTGATTATATGTCACGTGATGTTTAATCATATTCAAGACCAGTTACAGCACGGATCAAGACCAACTTTTGCTTCAATTTCGTGGATGATTTTATCTATTTTTTATTCTTTGCTTGTTAGTGCCAAGTTTGGATTTTTTCATCTTCTGCATCAACACGCTCTTCCTGGCAGTCGGGGTGTTTGAACGCTTTGATAAACCCGCTGTAAAAGATATATGAGACATAAAAAATGACCTATGACCCCTATATCACATTGTATAATCTAATAGTGTTGGCAGGTTTGTGTTGATACATATACGTTGATATACTCACATACTCTGTGAAATTCTCATATAACTTCTACCCTGTAAAAATCAAAATGAAATATCTGCTTATACATACCTCTGCCACCACAGTCTTCACAGTCAGATCCATAAACACATAGATTGTAGGCAAAACCAGGTCCACCATCATCGCATTCACCGTCGTAACTCCAGTAACATTCATTGGTGCACACAGCTTTGAATAAGACATAATTTGTATAACGGACAATTGGTTATATCCATAATTCATTGTGTTGGAAAAAACTTTCCATTGAACTCTTCACCCCTAATCCTAACTCTGACCCCACGTCTACTCTTCAACCCCCCAATTAATGGTATATGACCTTCTTGAGGACACATAAAAGATAATATAAGATGATTCTTTATTACAACCATATGAAAGAAATTCAATTTAGGTGAATACAAATGTAATAAAGGTATAACAAACTATTCTAAAAAACTAAAACTAAACATAAAGATACAGTAAAGAAATATTGTATCTAGAGAGCTATATGAAATAGGGGGGGCTGCAGAGTTAGGGTTAGGGATTGGTGTACAAATGAAAGTCTTTTTTCCCTGGTGTCTACCTGCTTGTTATTACATAGTATAAACACACATTAAATCAGAAGTCAGCGTTTTCCATTGCTTTGAAATTTAAAATTTTAATTAGTCTCCCTGTATGTGAATTTGTCTGAAATGGGCCTCCGTTGGTTGCATTTATAGATTTAAAATGGTGCACGAGATACAATATCATCACCAATGTTACCGCTATTTTACGATCTGTTGTTCATCAGACATTATCGTTAATTTATAGAGATGTTATTTTAATTTGAAGTAACATTTGTCACGTGATTTTAGAGATACTTGTCGTTTCCATCTTAATAAGAAAATATCCCTGAACAATGTTCAACCTTGCTACAAATGCATAGCCACTAGTGTGGTTAGAAGACATGGTTAGAAAAACTATATAGTGTTTTGTTATTTCTGTTTCTTGTTCAAGACAAGAAAAGTACGTATTTTGGCCGCGGAATAAAATTAAAAGTATGGAAGAAACCACATCAATCAGCTCAAATTTGTGATTGGCCGAGAGATTCAGTTATAACACTTTTCAACAATGAAAGAAATTCTAAGAAATTATAGTTCTCTGTTTTGCGCATGCGTATAAAGGCTGGCTTTACGTGCATTTACAGAGGGAATTACTTACTCAGAGTTCTATCGCCACAATCTGCACAGTCAGTTCCTAGGTCGCATAAACTATAAATAGAACCAGCACCACCATCATCGCATTCACCATCGTTGTTATAGTAACAAGTATCAGTGCAGTCTGTACATAAATAACGCATAATACATTGCAAGCGTACACAGAAAGTTATTAAGGCATATACGGTAAGTGATGAAGGCGTACATGGTAAGTGATCAAGGCATACATGGTAAGTGATCAAGTCATACAAGGTAAGCGATTAAGGCATAGAAGACAAGTGATTAAAACGTACATGGTAAGTGATCAGGCGTACACGATGAGTGATCAAGGCGTAAATGGTAAGTGATCAATGTGTACATGGTAAGTGATCAATGTGTACATGGTAAGTGATCAAGGTGTACACGGTAAGTGATCAAGGCGTACATGGAAAGTGACCAAGGCGTACACGGTAAGTGATCAAGGCGTACATGGTAAGTGATCAAGGTGTACACGGCAAGTGATCAAGGCGTACATGGTAAGTGATCAAGGTGTACACGGCAAGTGATCAAGGCGTACATGGTAAGTGATGAAGGCGTACACAGTAAGTGATCAAGGCATACATGGTAAGTATCAAGGCGTACATGGTAAGTATCAATGCGTACATGGTAAGTGACTAAGACGTACACGGTAAGTGGTGAGGGTGTACATGGTAAGTGATCAAGGCGTACATGATAAGTGATCAAGGCGTACATGGTAAGTGATCA